ACCTGCAGAGAATTATCACCTGAATCTGCAGCTCCCCTTACCTTTTTATAGAGATTTATATAAAGTTTTAGCTCATTGTTTACAAAGCAAAGTAGCAAAAAAGCTCTAAACACCCACTTTACACTACCTGCAGCACCAGTCCGCTGTGTAATATTTAGCAGGATCTATTGGCAGAAATGGACTTTTGTATCTGTATGTTTTCATTAGTGTTTAATGATCTAAAAATAAGAATTTTTGTGTTTTTGTTGCCTTAAAGTGAGCAATTTTTATTTACTTCCACCGAGTCTGCCATGTTTCTACAGTAGCCCAGACCAGACAAACCTAGGCTTCTCCTGCACGCTTGAAAGAGGCGGGTGAAGCGAGGGAGTTGCAAACTACACCGCTAGATTATATTATTTACAACACTAAATAACTGGAGTAAGTAACTCTGTGATCCACAAACATTGCAACTTCTGTGCAACTTGCAGCATTTCTGTATTTGGTTGTGTTGTCTGAGTTGGGTTGTGTTTTCTATATTTGCAACGTGTTTTGTTTATTGCAACTTGGTAAACATGTTTTCTTCATTTAATTGTGTTTCATCTATTTGAATGTGTTTTCTTCCAGTAAATTGCAGCGTGCTTTGTGACCGCCACGTTCGTCATGCTTAGTTCTCAACCTTTCCTTGTCACGGCACTAATCAAAGGATTATAGATATGACGATGCACCTAAGACAAAAGTATTGCAATCAGAAAGCATCAAATTCTTTACAGTTGTTTACATCCGTGTTTTAAGCATAACCACATTATTACAGTACACTGGATTGAGTATGAGAGTCATGCTAATCAGAGTAATTTACTTTGACATACCAATCCTACTCTATCGTGAAGTCAAGGAATAAGGTGAAAAAAAAGGGCCTCAGATTTTTTTGTTCCAGACGTGAAGGGTTTGCACTCAAAGACAAATATAGTTGAATGAGATAGGGATAAGAGCCAAGAATGAGATGATTTGAAAATTTCAATCTAGGGCTGAACAGCAGTGTGAGCAGAGATGAGATGCAAACCAAGGGTCCCTTTGGGGAGAAGGGTATGGATTACAAAATCCTGCTGCTGGTCCGCAGAGAAACAGGCAATCACTCAGCTGTTTGATATCCTGTTGTAGGTTGTGCTTGATGCTACTGTATGGTTTTTACTCACCCTGAAGAATATATGATGACTGTGATCAATGTTTCTTATCTGTGACACCTTTTAAGGAGCAGACCCTTATTTTCTGGTGTTGCAACCCCAGGAGACTGTTTGTGTTGCACTGCCAGCCCTGCAGCATGTTACAAGAGATTGTATGTGTTTCAGGTTATGGATCCCAGTGGCATAATGAAATACCTTGCTTACTGAATGCAAGAGGAGCTGCCTGTATGTCTGTGCGTGCATGGGTACCAATGATATTTCGCATGTTCTTCCACATTAAACTGCACTAAATTCATGCATGTCTATGGGTTTCACAATATAATTTTTTATTTTTTTGTAATAATGTGAAGTTCTTTTAATACAGATGTGTGGCCGTACACATTTTCATTGGGTGGACCTGGGCACAGATGGCTCCGATGTAATCTCTTCAATCTGCTATTAATCACACTGTACAGAAAGAGGAAAAATACTGCAGTAAAGGTCACAACGAGGTGAATTTTTCACTATTTATTACGTAGGATGTCGTCTCATGATAACTATAAACAATCTGTGAGATTACCAAAGGCAACAAGTGCAAGTGGGCACAGTAATATCCTTTCACTATTGATTTTTTAGCTTTTTTTTTTAACAAGTATATCCTTAATAATTTATGGTAGCACCTGACCCAACAAGCCTATCTTCATTTCAGTTCCTACACATACAGTCTTCATCTCAGCAGGTTTGTCCAGGGATTAAACAGAGCTGGAGGCAGAGGGATCATAGCTCCAGTATACATGGTTCAGGTGCAGTTTAGTCCCAACACATCAGCCTCCAGCCGCAGGCACCTACTGCAGCGAGCAAACAGGGCCTTCACTTTTCACGCTTTTGGTCGATCAGTATGTTTAGATGCACACAAGAAGCATAATTATTCCGAGAAATCCTGTTATGGCAGGAAACCTGAAAACTTGTTGGCATGCACTGCAGTGGGATGGGCTACTCTATAATACAACATGCAGCTGTTCAACCCACAAGAAGTCTCCAATCTCTTACATCCAGACCCCTTTTTATATGAAGCAAACCTAATTTATGAGATGTGCCGTTTCGGTTGAAGAAAGGTCAACCCACCAGCATAGTCTGGTCAAAGGCTGGCACATGTTTATATGTCATATTCAGAATGATGCTCCAGATTAAAGAGTTATCTGTACTCACGGTAAGCCTGACTACTAAGTCTTAGTATTAATTCCACTTGCACATATTTCATTTATATTTAATGTTACAGGTGATACAATAAAACTGCAAAAATAAATATCATTAAAACCCCCAGACTAAAAGTGCAACAATAAAAGCAAGAAAAAAACCTAACAGAGCAAAGCTGGGTACATAAGTTAACCAACATAACATAATAACAGAACTTACAATCTTTTCCTGAAGCTAACCAAGGAGTTATTCTTTCTATCACTGACCAAAGTTTGAATGTTTCACAATGTTAAGTATAACCAGACTCTGCATATTTATTGTTGTTAACTTGACCACAGAGCCCTGCATGTGCAAAATTGATGTATATACGTATATACTGTATATATGTGTGTGTACACACTATCTATTATATTTCTATAATAATTCAGATAAACACTAAGTATTGTTAATCATATAATTCTGGTGTACGCTGTTTACTTATATTAGTCTTGCTTGACTCTGTTGCTGTTAATCACTTTATTGTCCCTGTAATCTTGTTTTAAATTGCTTTTGTATTCTTATTTCATTCTTTATATACCTCATATTAGCTATTTATTTATTATCTGTTTTTCTTTACTTATTTGGTCTTTGTGCTGCTGCACCAAGCAAATTTCCCCCCCACACACGTAATGAAGCAAATCTCATTCACAGCTTGTGTTATAGTTTTTGTATGAATCTGTCAAACAGATGCATTTTTATGAAAGCAACTTTGGGCATGTACATCTGGTCTCTAAATTACAGAAGAACTGGTATTGTAGAAAGATTTTAAATGTTCACTTTAATATTTCATTTGATGTGGCTGCCAGCCCAAAGACAGCCCCCACAACAGAGAAAGAGAGGACAGAGGCCACAAAAAGAGAAGAGCCTAATAAGAAAAATAGTGACGATAACAGACTAACTGCTGATTAAAAAGTAAAAATGGACACTGACTGGCAGCTGTATTTTTCCAAAACCAATCCCATTTAGGAGCTCCTAGAAAATTAACATCAAAATTACATCTCAAGGACCCAGACACCTAGACTAAATTTGAATTCTGCCACCCACCTTTTCTTTTAAATAAATTAGGCACTCATGCTTCGTGCACTTTATTTATTCATACTTTTTTTTTTATTTCTGACCTTGTGTTGCTTGAAGAACACCCCAAATTTCTGTTAGCTGCTCCAAAATCACCCACCAGACATTGTAGCCACTGATTTTTTACATTTTTTAAATTTATTTTCTAATTCAGATATTAAAGTTCAAAGTGGCACCTTCGTTGTCTGCTCTGTCTGCACTGTGTCAGAACTGCTGGAAACACACACACACACACACACACACACACACACACACACACACACACACACACACACACACACACACACACACATATACAAAGAGCTGAGCAGGTCTTTCAACAATGAGTGACTTTACCTTGATCTACTAGTTTGATTAAATGATATGCTGGAGATTGAGATGTGAGTGAATTGTGCTCAGCCACTAGTCGCCATGGTCAGAGTCATTACAGCTGACAGACTGTATTAACACTAAAGAGTGAGCAGTCCTTGAGGTGAAGTGAAGCCTGTTACCAGGCTATAACAACAATGAACTGAAAGGATTAATGCCACATATTACCACATTTAGACACAAACCGTAATTGAATACTTGAGTACAATACTGGAGTGGTTTAATGGTTTCATTTCTAAGAGCGATCATAAAAAGCTTGATTTATAGTTTTTATAAAGCAGACATGGAATACGCGGCAACACTGCAGCAGAGACACACGTCCATGCGTGCATGCGCAGGTGAATCATGTCTCCTGCACATCACCGATCCCACTTTAACCCCAAGATATGCCTACAAATGAATTGTGCCATCACCTTTGTGTCTGTTCAGAATATTGATCATTTGGAGAGATTGGACTTTATTCAGTGTGAGAGTGCTGAGTTTGCTTTTCCAACACATCACCGGCATATTTCTCAGTGGTGGAAGAAGTATTCAATTCCTTTACTGATGTAAAAGTACCAATGCCGCAGTGTAAATATGTTCCATTACAAGCAAAAATCCTGAATTTAAACTATTCCTAAAGTGAATGTACAGAAGTATTATCAGTAAAATATACTTAAAGTATTAAAAGTAAAAACTGTACTGTACTCTGACTGTACTGCTGCATCTATCCAAGCTGTATTGTACTGTTGGAGCTACTCATGATGGAACTAGTTTTAACTACTTTATATATAGTTGAGACGTTTTGTGCAGTGGTTCTGAATTTTGGGGTCGGGCCCTCTCTAAAAGATCACAAGATAAATCTGAGATGTCTGCTAACAACTCCTAGACAAATTAAACATGACTAAAAGCCTCAACTAGGAACTTTTCTTTTTCTTTTTTTATAAATCACAATCTTTGACAATGCATGGAGTGCATGGATAAGCGTATCATATGTTTTTTTAATGTGTAATCTTCATGTGAAAGGTAACTAGTAAGTACAGCTGTCAAATTAATACAGTGGGGTGAAAAGTACAGTATTTCCCTCTGAAATGTAGTGGATTTAAAGGATAAAGAAAAGCACAAGTACCTCACTAACTAACTAACTATTTACCACAATACTAACAGAGCCCTCTGTCTTTGTATTTTGTATTTTGTTCACAGCTATACCCTCCGTGTGGTGGGCAATGGGATCAAGGCTCAGAGTACCAACCCCGAAGTCAAAGTGAAGGGAGCCGACCCTGTAATAAATCAGATCATTGACAAACTGAAACACATCAATCAGGTGAGCCTCTCTTGTTTTCTCTCCGTTTTCATTGTATTTTTTGCGAGTCTCACTCCACTTGAAGTCTATATTTTTGTCAAACATATGGTAAATGTCTCCTTAGGCAGTCTGCTAATTCTCTGTGCTTCGTTGTATTTGTGGAACATTCTCAAAGTATTTCTCGTTAGCTTTTGGCTTGTTCTTCAAGGTGCACACAAATGGCTTGAATGTTTCCTCACAAAGCTGAAGCCCCTTACTTCTTTGCCTTTGAATAATTCTCAACAAAATAATTCACATATATCATATTTCCTATTACCAGTAAGTATTGGCTAATAGAAAACTAGTCTCACATGCAAAATCATCTCCAGGCAATGAAAAAATGAAAAAATCAATCATTACACATTTAGAAACCCATTTGATCTGGTTTGCGTGTGTTCATATTTACAAAATTCTTTTTCTCCTCTTTGTCAAAATCAATGTAGCTTTTTTTTTTTTATCACCCAGCCTGCTTTTATGCAAGTTTGTGCTGCTGTGGCTCCTTTCAGTGCTTGTTTATCTCTCAGGATGATGAGATTAGGGCAGTTTACGGGAGCACTTTCTCTTTTGCAGCTTCAATAACAGCTGGTCTAGCAGCCTCTGGGTTGTTGCACTGCAGCAGCAGCTCCACGTGTCTGTTGCTTTGGTTTCCCAAGTGGCAGGCTGAAGGCCGGGTCATCTCTCTTGACCTCGTGCTGGCACCCCCTCCCTGACTAATTCACACCATCTGTGGGATGTCAGAACACATAAATCTATATCATAACCATTTGAGAGCTCCTGATCTGCCTTGTTGACATTCACTGTGTCTTTCTCTCTCTGTGTGTTTTTGCCACTTGCATCTTAAATGCTCCTCTTTATGTGCCCTTGTGGTTCTATGAATTTTTACCCACAGGAGAAAGTTTTGTAAGCTTCAACACTCAGAAATTCTGTATCTGCTTCATCATGCTACACATGATTTACTGTAACTGCTATGAAACAGATCATTATCATCAGCTCAGCCTGGATTATGCAATCCTTTGTAATCTGCTGAGAGCAAGTACTTCAGTGAATGTAACTTTAAGCCTTCTGTTTTATCAATTATCAAATATCTATTACACATACTCACCTCTTTTGTCCACATTTTCTGTTCCTTGTTCTGCTAACTGTTCATTTTCATTAGCATCATTAGTTTGCCACCTGTTCCCCTTGTCCTTGCATACTCACCCTTTTTTACTACTGATTTAATAACTGATCAATAATCAGTGACTCGCTCTTTGATACCAAGTAGTTAATGTATGCCTCCATAAATTAGGGACTTTGAAGTTTAACTTCAATATTATCATCAGCTGCAAGACATCTATATCTAATAACAACACTTGTACGAGTGCCTGTAATCTGCAGTAACTGTTTTTTTGGCCACTTGGGGTCAGTGTAAACACATCAATCATCACCTTTTAAGTTAATGTGGTGAATTAGCCTACCGTATCCTATTTACACATCCAGCAGTTATGGAGCAACATTATCATTCATTTGGAATCGTGTTTCTGTCCATTTGGTGAATATAAGTCTAACATTCACTCTTTTTTTTGTTTCTACCAAATCCTGAGGGAAATATCTTTCTCTTTATTTGCTAAATGCTCCACTGTGTTCGCCAGCTACCCACTAACTTTGTCTGTCTGCTGTTTGGTGTTGAGCAGGTAGTGTACAGTGAGTTTTTAGAGCTTGTTTACTGAAAACAACTGCCTGCTCTCTCTGGAAATAAGGTTGATTAGAGCGAATGAGTGAACCGAAACGGTCAAGTTGCAGCCGGAAAACAAAAACAACAATGAGCTGATGCTAAAATGCTCCATAGAGCTCAAAGGAACTGTAGAGTTGAGTGATGTTTGTCTGCGGTTTATCACAAATAATGAGCACTTTTACATAGACACATTTACATTTGATCCATGTAAAACTGATTATAGTTGTTTTAAATAAAATACAAACAGTACTGATGATGAAGACAGGACTGTAAATGAATAAACACGGCAGGTAAACAACAGTTGATAAACAGTTATCAGTTGCATTTACATGTTGGAGAAGTTAGTATTTTCTTTCTTTCTGTTCTTTTAATTTTTGTTTCTTTCTTGATTTTCATCTTATTTTGCCCTTCTTGAAGTTCCATTTATATCAAAAGCATTTATGTCCTTACACGTGCTTTGCTTTGTTTTACAGCGAGGCATTGTGTGAACTCGTTAGTGCTGTCAGAAACAGTTATGAAAAGTGACACTTGGGCACAAAGATATCGGCTTACTCATCCATCTGAGAGGCAGGTCTGTAGTGTGTGAAGACACCAACTGAGTCTGATATGTAACCAAGAAATGATGAGAAAAACAAAATACTCACAGTGTGACATTTGATTTTCAGATTCACAGCTTGTACAAAAAGCGACGTATTGCAGTAGTAACGGTATATCTAAGTTGTGACTTTTTCAGAAGTTCCTGGAACAATTCAAAGACAGATGACAGAACAGATGCACAATTTGTTAACTAGACTATGGTTTAATGTCTTGCATGTTGACATGGAAATAAAATAGAGGTAGCTTTCTTAATACATGAATAAGAATGAATGTTTGCTATGAATGTAATAAAAATCATCCACGAACCCCTCAACCAGACTGAGTCACTGGCTGCCAATTTCCCTGAAAAATCATCTGACTGTAAATTCACTGAAATGTGTTTACAGAATTTACTTTTACATTTAACAAAGGCAGCATGCAATGACAAGACAATGCAACTTCAACAGACTTACAACCAAAGCTCATTCACAACATGTGGTTTCCCCTCCCCATTATATTGGTGTTTCCTATCATGAGCCCACCTCAACTGTACTTTGTGTTTAGTGCTAAGTAGTAAATAGCTTGCTAGCACTCTAAACTAATATGGTGAACACATAATGATAGACATTATACCTGCTGCTTGAGACATTATAGCATATTAGCATTATTAATGTGAGCATGTAAGCATACTGGTGTTAGCATTTAGCTTAAATTAGCCTCATAGAGCTGCTAGTGCAGCTGTAGACTCTTGGACCTGGAGTGGTGGTGAAATTTAATAAATAATGAAATCAGTTGATACCCTAACAGATTGAGCTATCTTGTAAAATACTCTTAATTGGAGTCCCAACAATTATCAGGTAATGAAACACAAATGCAGCATGAATATGATAACATTGTTAGCATCAAAAGTTGTCAAGACAGCTGTATAAAATCACTGATATTTCTGACCAGTATGATGTTCATTAGAGTCTAACAACACAAATAAAGCTTCCTATTTCACATTTGACTCTCTTCAGGAAAGACATTATCAACCACTGTTATAAATTTTAAAAATCCCCCACGTAAATAATAACAAACAAAATATAGTGCTAATTAGTCCCACAGAATATAAATAGTATCCAAATAATATCTCTATGTCTATGTTTCTGTCATGACACACTCTAAAAATTGTAACACGGGTCAATTTTTGTGTATGTGGTTGATAATGCAAATTTAGCTGTTGAAAAAATACCTTTTCAATAAGTTCTCATGAAAATATGAGTAATTGTCGTGAATAACAAGAATCTCTAAAAACTGTAATTGTCTTAAAGGTCTTCAAATCTTCTCTAACATCACTTGAAACACTCACTGAGAAATTAGTGTTTGTAACTTTGTAAGTTTCCTCACTTCACTTTGTATGTGAGATGTAAGATTTTACATCTCTTGGTCCAGCAAGCAAATCCATGTTTAATGATTCAAGACAAATTTCGGAGGGACTGGTTACCAGATCACAATTGCAGTCCAGCTTCAAGATGTTGCTGCCATTCTTTTCCATTTACTTTGCTTGTTGAGTCTGTATAGAAGTGATTGGATGAAGTGTGATGGCTTCCTTCAATAGCGTTGAAAAACAGGATGCAAATAACCAAAAATTAATTGCAGCAACATCTCAAGTACACTCAAGCCAAATTACACTCCATCACTGGGTCAAACTGAAGGGGATGTGCTTTGTTGTGCTACTTGTACTCCTGATATCAGTTACATAATGCACTGATTTGCAAAATCCTTTATCACGGTGTATGTTTTCTCCCAGTTGCTCCTGCAAATTAGAAACAGTATTTGAAAGCATTATAGAATTTGTTCAAACATCACTGAGCTTTACAAAAATGATTTTGAAAAGTGGTTTCTATTTTTATACAGCTCTCACCAGAGAATAACGGTTAGTTCAAATGCTAACATGGTTGCGCGAATAATGACTTTCCTTTTTCAGTCTAAAAGGCAGAATTTGTGTGATGTTATTATCGTGCTGTAAAAAGTCTTATGTTGAATTCCCACCAGGTGACAAGATGTTAGCGGCACCTAAGTGATACTGAGGCGTCCCGCGATTACCCCACCCTGAAACTGACCAGTGGGGGCGTTACTATCCCCTAAACCGACTGTGTCAGTCCATCTACCAAAGCACTAAATGCCCATACTGCATCTGGAAAGCTCATAAGGGGGTACTTGATTGGTCATTATAGACTTGGTAATAAGTTCACAACATAGACTCAGAATCATAAACAGATTGTTTGGATTTTAATAGCTGACTATGTTCATAACTTCACTCAGCATGCCGGAGATAAAGAATATACTAAGGCAGTAGACTGACTTGAGCCCTCCATCTAAAAAACACAGCCCTCTCATTAACTGTCTACGTGGACTTTCATTGTCTCACTTAAGAGTATTTTAAAAAAATAAAATGCAGCTTGGAGCCTGTGTGGATAAAATGAGACTGTATCTGTTCTGTATGTGTATTTCTATTTTTCTAAACCAGGGGTCTCCAACCTTTGCTAACAAAAGAGCAATTTTTGGCTCAAGAAATAAAAAATAAAAATCTGTCTGGAGACACAAAACAGATTTGAGCCTTATCAAGCATACTTGTAAGCAAGCAGCGTTGGTGGTAAAACAACAAAATCAGCGCACTCACTAATAATTCTCTGTTTTCCTCCGAGACTTG